CGTACCCGTAACCGTAACGGACGGTTACGGTCCGGTTACCGTTACGGTACGTCCGTCCGTTACGTTAGTTACGTACGTTGGTTGTTCGTCTACTACTACGTACGTACTATATATCTCTCTCTCTCTCTCTCTCTCTCTCTCTCTCTCTCTCAGTATTTTACATTCTTACTCTCGCTCCTTCATTCAGTTGCTCTCACTTATATAGATCTGGTGAAGACTTCATAGTACTCCAGCACTGATTTTTACGTGCTTGGTCCCAGTTTAATGGCTTTTATTACTACTTTTAAGGACATCATTATCGCCTGTTTTCAATCTCTTCCCACACTCCCTCCCTCCCGCCCCACCCCTCCTCTCCTCTCCTCTCCTCTCCCCCTCCCCCTTGCTGGGGCAAGGACATCAACCTTTCCCCTGCTGGGCAGTTTTTACCCCTGTTGTGGCTGTCGCAGCAGCAGTACTTGCCTAGATGACCACATTGCATGTCGGCTCTTGCAATTGTTGCAAGATAAGTAAGACGGATGGTTTACTCACTTGATTTTGTCTCATGATGGGACTGATTTGAAATCATTTGATCATTATGGTCCTGATTTGAACATCACTTTAGAACTTTTTTTTTTTTCTTGTTGGGAATGATGGATGTTGAATTATCACAACTGTAAGTCTGTAACCAATCAAGCCCATGCTTGAAACCCAAAACACAACTAGAACTTCCACCCCTTTTGATTCTTTTTTCCAGGTACTTCTGGCATTTTCAATGTTATTATGAACAGATATGTCTATTCACTGTTTTTAAAGAACTTGCTCCTTGGGTACCCATTTGCCCATTAAAAAGAAAAAATCCTCCCGAGTATTATTTTTCTCTCTTTGAAGGATGGTGGCAGGGTGTCGGTGGCTCCAGAGAGGGAGAGAGACATGTCTTTGCTGTGATATGGTACTGTTGTGAAATTTGTGTGGCTCAATTTTGGGCTTTGTATTTTGGCTCAAACTGGCATTTATATGTTCATTTGCATCATCATAGCCTTTTCCCAATTATATGTTCATTTGTATCATTATACATTTATTAGATGTAACTATGTTAGTGCATATCCTATTATATTTTAAGACAAAGGAACCCCAAAAATGCAGGCAAACCAGAGAATTATTGATGCAGTTGCAGCACGTCTGGAAATTCCATCTGATCGCGTTATATCAAACCTTGCTAACTATGGTAACACAAGTGCTGCTTCCATCCCCTTGGCCCTGGATGAAGCTGTTCGCAGCGGAAAGGTTCAGAAGGGTCACGTTGTTGCCACAGCTGGGTTCGGGGCAGGGCTCACATGGGGTTCTGCTATTGTGAGATGGGGTTGATGCTCATAATGTTGCATTATCAGCTAATAAAATGCTAAGTAAATTCCAATGGGTGGCTTCTCTGTTTTCTCGTTGGCTATTTATTTTAGGGCCCTGCTTATTTAAATCCTATTTATTGCCCTTCATTGGTGTTACCTGTTGTCTCTCTCCCCCCCTCGCGCTCTCTTTCGCTCAAGGTGTTGTAGCTGATTTATATTTGTTGGAGCAAACGAATATTACATTCTTTGTTTGTTAATCTAAATTTTGATAAGGTTGGGTTATTACAATTTAGTAATATGGTTGCCTGTCATTTGTATTGGTAGCTAATAGCTGGGGTGGCCCTAGCCCCTGTAGGGCTGGCCCGTCCCTGGACCAGCCCTGATAGAGCCGAAGAGCCCTGTGGCCTGGCCGAGCCAGGCCAAATACAATAAAAGTTAATTGAAGGAAAACAATAAGAAAGGGCTGGGAGGGGCAAATAGGGCCGGCCCTATTACAAAGCCGGGCCTTGTTCAAATTTGTCAATTATCAATGTTCTACAGTTATTGATCTACAAAAGCCCTTAAAAGTTTTTATTTGAATCAAATAAAATATTTATAAGATCGATTTTTGCTTTTTTCACTATTTTTTCCATTTTTTGCCTGAGATGTTTTATATTTTATTTTTTTATTGTGATTTTTGATTGAAGGAAAAAGTTTATATAGAGCCAAATTCTAAACAATCAAATTAAAGCTCACCTCAAAAATTGAAGAGGTTGTTTTGATGCTCAAATATCCTCAATTTGATCATCTCGACATCGAGATGCATGGACATGAGAAAAAAAAAATGGATTTCAAGGTTTGGAAATAGTTCATCTTGTAAATGTTGGGGGGAGGGGGCGGTGGGGGTACAGTGGGGATTGTGGAGTTGGTTCTAGTATTTTCCTGAAAATGTTCTAGAAATTCTTAATTTTTCATAAATATTGTGTTTAAATTTTTTTTAAATATTATATCAAAATTTTGGTAGGTTTTTTTATTATTATGTTTGTATTTATTTTTTTTTACGTAGAATTAGATTTTATTGTTATGTTTTTCTTTTGAGCATTCTAGATTGTGAAGTGACTGTATTACTCAGGCAAGAATGATACTCGGTATCCACACATTTCCAATGATTTAGTTATAATATATCCGTAGTGTGTTCAGCATCCAATGAATGCATGAAAGGTGGTGGAGAAAGTATGGAACCACTACAACATATGATCAAAGTGGTTGGTCACTCTTTTGCAATCATCCATCAGAAAAACCAATTTAATTGTCTTTCAAAAAATGATATAAACATTAATTAATAATTTTTATGATCAAATAAATTACATTATCATCGTCATCCGAGCTTTATTTTAAACATTTGGATTCGGTTACATGAATGATGTTTTGCTATTTTGCTCTATCAAAGTTTATACCATCAGTCAAACTATAGTAATCATATTTTTTCTCATTATTTCACCCATATTTTTTGAAGCTTTCCTTTTGCCCTTTTAGAGTTTAGTATTTGAACCAAATCACCTTTTATAACTGGTTCCACCTAGTTTATTTTCTCTCATTTTATCATCTATTGGAGCTACCTTTAAGTTCCTTCAAATGTTTTTATTCATTATTATGTCCTTCATTTTCTTGTAACTCATTTACCTCTAAGTTCCCTCAAATGCATTTATTCATTATTATGTCGTTCATTTTCTTGTTACTCATTTATCTCAATATCCTCATCTCAGGCATGTTTATTCTTTGGATATGTTGTTTTTTAGCTATCAAATATTTTGTCCTAGAAAGTATGACTAGTCTTACAGTTGTTATGTAGAACTTCTCCTCCAGTTTCACTGGTATGCGATGGTTACATAAGACTCTAGATGCACATCTTTACGTCATCCACCTAGCTCTAGTTCTTTTTTTTTTTCTTTTTTTTTGGGTAATTCAGTAGGGAAGACGGACCCTTACCCGTTTTTTAATAGATTGGGAAGTTACATTTTGAAGGTGTTATTGGACGTATCACTGTAGGAATGGGTACCATGATGTAGTAAATGGGTCTAGGGATGCTACCACCACGACCCCAGCCCCTTTCTCATAGATTATCAATTAAAGACATCGAAAATAAACTATATTACGTAATTCTTCATCATCAATTTTAGCTAATTCTTTGTTTCTATTCCTATTATTACTAAATGTATATAGACTTATGTATTAGTTTTGCTATTTTAAAAATCTTTACATTCTAAGCATCCCTCTAAAGTTCATCACGTTTATTTCGTCTCTAGTGTCATCATTCAAACTATGTCTTTTGCAAGCAACATACACCGTAGGACCTCATCCTGTAGATGCCTAGTTATCTTGTCCATCACCAAAGCAAAGAGATATGAGCTCAATGTTGATTCCTAATGTAGGCCTATTTTAAATGAAAACATCACTTGCCTCTCCGTTTATGTCCTCATATTAGTTACTGCTCCTTGTGTTTATCCGTAGCCATGCTAATATATCCTCTTGAGACTTCTTTTTTTTCCAGCGCTCACCAAATTGTGCCTCTAGATATCATGTCGTATACGTTCTTTAAATCAATAAAATCCAAGTGGAAGTCTTTTCTCTTCTACTTAAGTTTTTCAATAAATTGCTTAAGTAGGAAAATATTCTCAATGATTGACCTCCCTGGCATAAATTCAATTTAAATTTTTTTTTTTTACCATTGGCCATGGAATAAATTTGATTTGATTTTCTAGGCATTCATTTCATGTCTTAGTTGTTGCTCAATTACTCCAACCCATAGTTTCATAGTGTAACCCATAATTTTGATCCCTCAATAGGTCATACAACTCTGTGTATCTTCTTGTTATTGTAAATTGATACTACAATATTTTTTTTCCATTCATGTGTCATTTTTAATGTTCTCAAAATCTTGTTAAATAGCTTGGCCAACCACAACATGCCAATATCTCTCACATACTTCCAAACCTATGTTGATGATAGATAGATAATTTATAAGCTTCTCCAAATTTCAACAAGAGAGTACATTGGTGTGTGGTTATAGGTAGTATGAACTTAGGGAGGTATTCAAAGTACAGGTTAAATTAGAATGTATAGCTTGTTCCAGCAAGATCATACTGTATACTAACTCCCTGGACCAAAAGAGCTATTGGAAGGATTTTTTTATCCGAAATTTTGAGATGTATTTAAAAATCACCAGATGATTATTTTTTAGAAAAATAAAGCATTAGATGTGATTTCTTTAAGGCTTAGATCGTGTCCTCGAAGAATTAGACGGTCTTGTTCGGTTGTTGGACATTATCTTTATTGCCACATATAATGTGTTATTTCATATATTTTTAATTTTTTTAAATGATTTTTTGAGGTTGGTAGCTAGTTACATATCTAAGTTCTAGGGTCATATAAATACTCCGAATATGGCTTTACCCTAGGAAGCAAGTGTACATAATATGCTCCCACAAGATTAAGAAATCATTTGAGAAAGTTGATTGTGTTTGGCGGCGTGAGGCTAGTATCTTTCAACCAACCAATGGGCACTGGCACTGGGTTATGAGATGAGACAGAGAAAAACCATCAATCAAATTGAAAAATGAAAAGTCGCTTATGAGTCGGATGATGCATTCTCATATTTGCGCCCCCAAGGTATCAAACACCTGTTTTAAGATGGACGTAAAGTTGTGGTTCCTCTTGAAAGAATAAAATCTAATGGTTCAAAAATTTTCTCCAAAATATTATATTTTCAATTTTTTTTTTTTTAACATAATAATAATCTCCATGTTAGGACTCTATATATCCAAAAAATATATATTTTCAATTTTTCTTTTTTAACATATTAATAATCTCCATGTTAGGACTCTATATATCCCAAAAAAAAAAAAAAGTCCAAATCTATCTAAAGTCAGGTGGTTATGGACTTGGACTTGACCCAATACCTGAGGGGTAGATCCAATCCGGGTCCAAAATTAGACGTGGCGGGTCGGGTCTACGTCCAAATCTTGGACCCAAGCACTATTCAGGTCTGGGTTCGATTGGGTCCTATCCAATCCGCATCCGGGTCCAATTGAGTTTGTTCCAATCTGGGTTCAGATCTAGTAATACTTTTCAGGTCCCAATATATAAAATATATTTAAATATAATTAAAAATATAGATATTTTAATTTTTGAGTGGGGTCTAGATAAAAAATAGACCGGACCCGACCCGACCCAACAGTTGCCAACCCTAATTAAAGTAGGGCCGCACATCTACATGCGAGTCCTAAGGCTCATAGAAACCTTATCCAGGGAGGCCATCCATCCACGTCAATTGCGCCAACCAGGCCACTTTATTTCCATTTTTGTGAGTCCTAGGACTCATAGAAACCTTATCCAGATAGAGGCCATCCATCCACGTCAATTGTGCCAACCAAGGTCCTTTATTTCCATTTTTGTCGCTCTGTCCTCAACTTCCGCTCCGCGTAAATGCAACAAACCAACCCACGTTGACATCGTTTTTTTTTATCTCCAATTAGGGTTAGGTTTTTGCCCTTTTTGGCAGGAAAGTTTGAGAACTTATAGGAACAAACATCAACATTCCATTGATTTAGAGAGAATTGGATTGAGAGCAGAGAGAAGAGCAAAAAAAAGAAAAATTCGAGGAGAGAGAAGGAGGAAGGTTCCTGATGACGGGTGCGTTGCAGAGATCATCTGTATCGTTCAGGAGGCAGGGTTCATCAGGCCTTATATGGGATGATCGCTTCCTCTCTGGAGAGATCAAGCCCAACGCTTTAGCCGGTGCGACAGACAGATGCAGACCTGCCGGTGGATCGGATAAACCCAGCGGCAGCAGCGCCTGCCCGACTCCGGAACGAGGATGCGCGTTCTCCTCTCTCTTTGGCCCTTGCATTGGCTGTTGTTCTTCCACTGCCGCTGCCAAATGAATGGATCCATTCTGTTCCTCGATGTACAGTTGGTTGGGCAAAAGAAGAATGATGATGATCAACTCTGAGCTCAACCATTATTGATATTGATTTGTAATTCAATAGGTACGGACATTTCATTGCTGATTTGAAGCAACTGTTTGGGGAAAGGTTTCATTTATCTAGACTCTAGATGATCAATGAGTGTTCAATTTAAACCCCAGAAATACAAGAGACTAGGGAGCTGAATGCTTCCTAGTAAGCTTGGCAACCAGCCCTGGTTCGTCCCGGCCAAGACGGGGCTTAAAAGGCCTTGGCCTGGGCTTTTTTTAGTGTTAGGCCGATGGGGCCTTACACCCTTATGTGCAGGGTTTTATTTTTAATTCT